CTGTTGAGTGAAATTAGTCAGTTACAAAAGGAGAAATATTGCATAGGATCACTACTGTAAAAGACTAAGAAAAAGAACCCATAATAAAGGGGCCGGGGGATCCTTTGATGGTTCCTGGGATGTGGGGGTGAGGTGAGGGGAGGGAGGGGAAAGTGGAGCATAGTGTAGGGATAGTTTAGGTGCTAGGGAGGGGGTCAACACACAAGACGGGGAAAGGGAATGGAAGAAAAAGGTGGATACATATCCCCATTGTGCTACTGACTTTTGTCCTCACTAACAAAGGTAAGTACACAGCAATAAAAGCAGCATTCTCTGGAAAAAGTTGTTTGGTTATATTCACTGAATTCTTATACATACCTGCTTTCAGGAGCTAACACTTTTAGCCATACCCAAATACATTAATCTTAATAGTGAGATTGAACACTTTTAAAACAGAAAATACCTTCATAAAATTAAATCTATGGAAATGATATCTCCAATGTTGACACCTATCTTTTAACATACTCTTTATTAGTGGCAGTGACTGGTACTAAGATTTAAAAAAAAAGAGAGAGAGAGAGTGAGAAACTTATAAAATATTAACTCATTAAAACTATGTATTAAAATTATCTGATATGATATCTTGAAATTTTCAGAGTGAACTGTTCACTCTTTCCCTTTATCTATAAGAATCTGTGCCATTGAAGCATGCGCACTTGTAGATCATACCTCGATGGCCGCAGATGATCCCAGTGTAACAGAAGCCTCAGGAAAAGAAGCACTGTGCCCTGGAAGGTCAACTCCATGAAGATCCAGCCTAGGAAATTCATCTCGAAGGGACTCACATAGGAATCAATGCCAAAGTTGCAGGTCAGATCATATTTTATCTGATTATAACATAGTTCTATCAGTCCTCGACCCAGGCAGAATTGAGGAAAAATAGTAAAAACCCATTTGAGGACATCATAAATGTTCTGTAAATTCTGTACAGTAAACGAAAGAGAAAACAAATAAATGTAAGTACTTTTGCTTTTAAGAATGCATAATAATAATTTCCATCCCTCCTTAGCCAGTTACATGTAACAAACCCTCCCTACCCCAAACATGCAATGATACTCTTATAACAGACAGGTGCTCTGACCATTACACATACTCTTACTCTATCTGTCTCTACTGAGGACAACCATTAAAACTCATCATCATTGGCTCTTGCTACCAAGAACTACTAGATGCTTCCTAGATAGTCATGTGCTAAAATAGAGTTGTATTGGACATTTTGAATCTGACAATCATATGATTTACTATGTAGGAAATGACAAATTGAAGGGGAATATCAACACATTCATTATCAAAAAGAACATTTCAAGATCTATCTTGATTTATAATGCTGTTGATAATAGGATAATATCCATACGCCTACAAAGAAGACAAGTTAGTACTATTATTTTTCAAATTTATATGTCAACCACTAAAGCCAGTAATGAAAATATTAAAGAATTCTAATGACTTCTTGAGTCTGAAATTGATCAAACATGCAATTAAAATATGTACTGAGAATTACTAGTGAATAGAA